AAGAAAGCAAAGTGAAAATAGCTCTGAATCCAACCCCAACCCAACCCCCCCCCCCCAACCCCCCAGGATTCTCTGAAGCAATTCATTTTCTTTAGCCATTTGGAGCCACAGCACTGTGCAGCTTGTTGGGTCCCAGGGAGCAAAGGCCAATTAGGCTGTTTGAAAGCGTGTTCGAGGAGGTCAGTACTGCATCTGCTACACAGCATGCGCCTGCATATTTCTGTGGGGCAACTGGGACTGATCACAGCTGCAGCTCGGTGGGCCACAATCAATTGGCAATCCAGATCTGTCTTTGGGCCAGATCAATACGTGACTGCTGTGGTGTCTGATGGTCAAATGCAATCTACAAACAGCAGAGCAGTTAGTAAGAAAAATGACAATATGTATAAAAAACACGCCTCGAAGGAAACCTTTATTGAGTCTACGAGACTAAAATAAATGCAGACAGAATCCAAACACAGACGTAAGAGTGTTTTCTGAGGTGCTGTTTGCATAATTCAGCAATCACTTCTGGTAGTTTTTTCATGTCAGTCCCTGAAAGCGCTGCGTTGTCGATGAAAAATAGTGCAATAAAAAAGAAAAAGAAGTGAAGAAAAGCAATCTTGGAACCTCTTTTTTAGTAACCAAAGTTAGAACTTTTGGTGGAACAGGACTACCATCTGATGGCTAACAGGAGTAACTGCATCCAAGTTTGTCTACAGTTCATCACCTGTTTCAACTACACAGTACATCCAGGTTTACAGTCAAAAGCGATCCCTTCAAAATAAATTCCTGAGCTTCATTTCAGGACACTCGATTGTTTTTGTTCACCAAGCCTTACATAACCTTTATGTCCCATTACAGTATGATACAATTGTTTGATAGTGAAATACACCCTGGATGTTTTCAGCTCTCCACAGTACATAGCAGAATATAGAGTGCTGATTATTTAATATATCCTTTTTTTTTATTCAAAAATCAAGACCTGCTGCTAAATAAACATTTGGTGAGCTACAGACAGCTGTGAATTTAAAAACAGAAAACAGGTTTGTTAGTTATTATTATTAGTTTTTTTGACTGTAGATGAATGTAAACATCAGGGTTTCATCCTTTTACCGCACAAATATTAAAGATGCATATAGACCTATATAACAAGGAAATACATTAAATGCAATTCTTACCAAGTTTGTATGGATACTACAAGAACTGACATAATCAATTAACTGTCATTTAAACCTACAAGGATTTTTTCACTAGTTATGAAACTAAATATTGATGCGTTTATATGCCTCACATAGGAAAAGAAGACCATATATATTCTTAATTCCTGCTACCAGGTTGGATTCCCCTTGAAATCAATGAGGTGGTGGAAACACTGCTACTGTCATCCACAGGGGTCACCAAAATGACCACAAAATTGAAATTCCTTGTTGCTGCTATAACAGAAAATGAATAGGAAACTATTGTGATTGTCTATTCATTATTGGAGTTGTTAAATAAATGAAAAATAGTCATATAGCTTCTCGCTCCAGCTTCTCAAACGTGAAGATTTGCTGCTTTTTTGTTACTACTTAATTGATCATCGCGTTTTGGACAAAAACTGACATTTGAAGACATGACCTTATATATTCCATAGACTAAACAAGTAATTCATTCATTGAAAGCAACTGACAGATTACCTAATAATGAAAATAACCTTTAGTTGCAACACATGTGCCAGACAGAAAGCGTAAGGACATTAAAAGTAATCTTCATTTAATTAGCTCACTAATCTTTATCCTCAGACTTCATCAGTCTTTAAACATCCACAGTGTGGTCTCATAAACAGAATTAATAACTGTGGATAATTATCCTTGCTTTTGATTACTGATATTGTGGGATCGTAGCTCGATTGCATCCAAATCCCCATGAGAAGGAGAGCAAAGACACGAATGACACATCATGAACTTTCCAGGCATATTTAATTGGCACAGTAAACACAATACAAAGTATTCAGTGCTCCAAAACACAAGCATGGACTACCAAATGGAACAGAAACGAAAAAGTGCAAAAACACACCATTTGGTAGACCTTACCAAGGAAAATAAGTCTTACTTTGCAAAGCAGATAAAGTAATGGTAAGACTCTCAATAGTTAAAATAGATGTTTTTCCTTTTTAAACTTTATTTATATATTCATATATATTCTCTCTAATTCCAACGTGCCATTTCCACTGTACAGGCAGGTTACTCTGGGGGCGTCGACTAAAAGGTTTGTGGTGGTCTCATTGTAGAGAACTGGCAGGCAGAAGGTTACTGTAAAGCTACTGCTGCCCTTAAAGCAGTGATTTGTGCCTCATTCGTCTATCGTCGAAAACAGAACAAACGGAAAAGTGGCTTGTTTGACATCTTGACATATCGAGCGATGGGTGGTGAAAAGCAAACACGATACTTTCAAGAGTCCGAATGGTCAATATGTTCATCAGTCCTCCATTTAATGAGTGTTCATAATATGCTGCATCAGATGAATATTTAAGAATGGCTTCATCCAAAACAATTGTTACTCATATTTGCAGTTAAGGGATTTTAGTCCCATTCAGGCAGAATAAGCTACAACATAGAATTCCAGCTTAAAAAAAGAAAAAAAAAATGAAGAAAGTTGAATCTCAACATCATCAAATATAAAAACAAAAATGTTAAAATCATGTACATTATGTGCCGTTGAGCAGGGGGGGCGGGGGTCAGTGGACATAATTTCTGATTATAAAAACTCTCAAATTTGTCATCAAAACCTTTTGAGATAATCACATCTTAATCCTTTTACCAACCATACCACCATCAGCATCATTCTGTTTCTCAGAAACCCAGTTAAGGCCCACAACAGGTAATTTTGGGTCACATTTCAGTCAGAAACTCACAGGAAAATGTGGATCACAGTATATTTTCATATACAGTAGACAGTTAAAGTGGACCATCCTAAGAACATCAGGTGTAAATCCTATCTTCATAGGTTTTATTATTGGGTAAACTGTTGCTTGGACCGAGTGGAGACGAATCCACAAGGTGATTAACTGTAAACTAACAACAACTTGCGTTAGACACTCTGATCAAAACATACAATACTAACATTTTTTACATACATACTGTGCTGTGTACTTACAGTAAAACAAATGCACAAGACATCCATGACCTACCTATGCAAAAGATCGTTTAGAAAACAACGTTTCGGGTCCCTATCGTCTTTTACTGACAGTTTTGAGATTAAACTGGGGGAACACTGGGAGGAGGAGATCACTCACTCACTGTTAAAAATAGGAAACCATGCTTTCTGATCCAACAGAAGAAAAAGAGATATTTAAAAAAAAGAACCACAGGCACTGAACCCAAACAGTAGCATTCAGGTTAATTCAAACAGTACAACCAGGCAATGAGGGTTAACTGAACAGAAAGGCTGGAGGCAAAGAGGCGAGGGGGGGGGGGGGGGTACGGTGACC